CAAACAAGTGACTGTTTTCAACAGTTAAGAACTCCCAGCTTACACAAAGCAGGATTGACTGGCTTGGCCTGTTTAAGTAACTTGATACAGCTATGCTCGACTCCCAGTGAGTGATAAAACAGCTATGACCTTAACTTGCCTGCTTTGTCTGTTGACCCAATTTGACTAGACACAGTGCTTGCTTGACATAATATGACTGCTGGTGACTAGCCTTTTTTTTAAAGTATAGCAGGGGAAGTGGAAGTGCAGTTTGACTGTCTGTGACTGTTTAAATAGCACTCCAATGTTTTGGAGTGACAGTGCAATATATGCAAATTGCATGTTGAGGCCGATCAGCGAGTTTCCAGAATTAATCGGAATTGGAGAATTTTCTGTTTAAGTTCCGAACTCTCAAGTTTACACTGGCCTGAATGTGCAGCTGCACTAGGGCCCTCAGGGGCTAAACACAGTGATCATTGCACATTGCATGCGGTATGTAACCAGATTGGGTAAACATCAGATCGCTGTGAATAGTGCACATAGCACAGCCATTACTGTTCCCACCAAAAATACACCCACTGCGGAATGCACTTTTAATGTATTCTTCAGCCTCAGACAAAAAATGCATGTAAACAATCCCAAAAATTACTAGAAACTCAAGTTCCAAGATTTTTAGAAAAAAAAATCAATGATTTAAAAAAAAAGAAAATGAGCTTCTCTCTTTCAAATGTATTCTCCTCTGGATATTTTTGTCCGAAATACAGAAACAGTAGCTGAAGTATTATCAAGGAAATCAATACATTGCTTCCTGTATAATGTATAAAAATGTATACACTTTTGTATGTAAAAAAAAATTGCATGCTTTGGACAGTGCATTAGTTGCCAGAAGGATAAATTAATACATTATTTCCTGTACAACTGCAAGAAAAATACAATTGTTATACAATCTGTTAAATGTGTATTGCATGCCTAATAGATGCTGTGCAATTGACATGATACTCCAAATAATAGTTGAAGGCCATGAGTTTCCACTTAAAAAATTGTCCTCAGTGTTTGGGTTTTTTTTCTATTGAACACTCGACATAAATGTTGAGGACTTTCCAAGCAACATCCATTAAATTTCTGGAAAAGTTGAAGGTAGGCAAGGATCAGCTACACTGGTGGAATTTGTTGTGTTGGTCTGCGATTCAAAAGTACTGAATCTTTTATTGCAAGTGCCAGACAAAATTGAATTTTTAATAAGATACAGGTTATACTCAACTGCAATGTATTTTCCAATCTAATAATAAATAGGACACTTAAAATTTATATTTCAAAGCACAGAATGCTAGGAGGAATTTAAAAAAAAAATGAAATTAAAATTTATATCTCAAAGATACCATGGTTGGTTTTCCCCCTGCGTTATCAAAACAGCATCGCTATTTGTTCATTTAAATTCATACACATGGCACATTTACGCACAGAGTGACCCACTTGTGTATCAATAACACTATAATTTGATAAGAGGCCGTGGCCAGTGCACCATCCACTGCAAAACAGTAGGGCCTTCATGCCGTGCTCCGTACTGATATATGAATTTTCTTTCAAAGGGCAATCTATTATGACCTGATTTGACTCTTTCTTTATTCCGCTATTTCACTCATGAATAAAAAATGGTGTGTCTGTGCAGTGATAATACACATCTCAATGTGCTAGTACATAGGTATGCGAAGGGCACGTGAACATTCACAAGGATCTAACAACGATCATGGATACTTTCCATGCTATTTCAAATTAATATTTTTAAAAGAAGTTTTAAAGAAAGTGCACCAAGAATTTCAAATGGGATTCTTATTGATCAAATGTATTTTGAATTTCAAATGGGATTCTTATTGATCAAATGTATTTTGAACCCATAAACAACCCCCCTCCCCCTTATTACTTTGTATCCATTTTGCATGTTCATTACTAACATTTTATTTTTGCTATCAATGTGCGATGTTCCAACATTGTTCTCCGACAATCGTAAACTTGCAGCTTTTTGGGGGGCTGGGGGATACATGTAACTTAACCCAATTTAGGCAGCTGGCCTATTTGAAAAATTTAGTTCATCATCTGCAACTGACTTTCAAGAACAATATTAAGGGTGCGGATATTCTCATTTTTCAATCTTAGACTTTCCAGTGCCAGCTTTTTAGTGCTACTTGAAATAATTTATGGAGAAATGAAGGCATCTGGATTTCTTCCTAGACCATCATAACCGGATTTACATGTATACAATGCTTGCATTTTGGTTTAAAATCCCTCTGCGTATATTCTACGGTCCCTTTAAAGTTTTGACTGACCAGAGAGTGGAGATTTCTCCTCCTCCTTCCCAGGGAGTTCAGAGGAAATCAGAGCCTAGGGGCCGCAGGCCTCATTTTATTGCAACAGTAGGGCTCCGTAAATGGCCGCCACGCACTCCCTCCTGCTTTCAAAATCAATACGCACCCGCGCGACTATATATATCAATGCACGCAGGCTGTGCAAAGCTGTTTATTGCCTAGCCGGTGCCCAAATGTTATGCGGAGGGTTAGAATTTCTTAAAGCGCCAGTTTCGTACCCGCAGACGCGAATGTGTCTACTTCAATCATGTCGAACTCTTGATTCACAGCACTGAAACGATCAACATATTCCGCGACGTCATTCGCTGCGCGCCAACGACGACGGAAAATACAATCTGAATTTCATGTACTCTGTGATGTAAACAGAAGATTAGCAAGGCGATTGTACATGTACATAATTCTGTCTCACGGACACCGCCATGCCTTGAATGCAATGTGGAGTAAGCTTGACCGATATTCGGTCACACGGCAGTGCAACGTGTACGGCGGGCTTAGGGGTAAAAATGTCAAATTGCAATAACCCTTCAGGCCAACTCTTGAGTAAATTTAGATGCCCCAGTTTTCTTTTGTCAACAGTGACAATATGAATACAAGGTTGAGACACGTGTTTAAATTTACAGTATCTCTATAGTGGGAGTTGGATCCTACCACTGCACTTTAAGATCTAACAAGGTAATATCTATCAACACTCAAACCGGTTTGGAGCGAACGTTGCTTGCCTTGCCCTGCTTAAGGTTATTTACATCGATTTCCCCGCGCTGCGCAAACGGAATGAGGTAGCTGCGTATAAGCGCGAGAGGCGAGACAAGTTAAAGGTTTGTGAAATGGAGACATCCTCGTTTCAAGCTAATAACAGGCAGCAGTTTGGGTTACGGACCAACCACATAATGATTGCTTCAGACTTAGACCTGCACAATAAATTATGATGATGTTGACAAATTAATTGAGCTACTTATGGTAGTTTAATGTGGAGCCCACATAACACTGGTTGTCTATCATTTTTATCAACACATCAGACTTTACTGCTCTAGTGAATTTCATATGGAACTAGTGCTTTTGTTCCAATTTGAAGTAATTCTGGCTTCAGACAAAAATGGTGCAAGTACCTGACGCCACTTTTTTATTCATATATCATCTCAATGAAGGTCAGTCATTGCCAAAATTTCGATATGACTGAATCTGGGACTGAGAAACATTTCCAATTTTGTTATGAAATACTTAGACAATTTTCTGGACTATCTAGGCATAGACTTTGTACACAACCGCTGAAGTTGTGTCAGGTTACAACATTTTTGTCAAAAAAATCTGTGAAAATAATCATTTTTGTAACCTATGCGGGAGACAAATGACAGATGGAAAAAAAATTAGGAAAAAAAAAATAATAATAATGCGTCAAGTAAAAGTAACTATTCTGCGTGGTCCTCATATCATGATTGTCTAATTTTCATTGAACCAAATTAAGTTCACTATCCTCAGAGCCCACAATTTATTTCGTCTTTTTTTTTCTTTTCACGTCCATTAAATAGAGGTCACCGCATTTGCCCACAACTGAATATTCCCATTGAATTTCTATCCTAACAAGAGCCGGTCAGTCTATACTTGACAGACAGTCAGACTGAATGGCATATCCGTGCAGCGTTTAACTCTTTCAAGTCTGCTACGGGTTTGTAAAAATCGGAGAAGGAAAAAAAAGTCCAGTCTTTCACGGGCCGGGCACAACCCGCCAGCCCGCAGGGCATGCGAGTTGGCCCTGCATTATTTAGCACCGACCCGCCTGCCTCGGTCATGCCGCACACGGCGCCGTACCATTTCCTAACCGTTTTAATTATAACGTCCGGAATTATCATTTTCAAACCAAATGTTCCCGGTCACAGGGGCGAAAATTACGTATCAATAATTCCTTAGAATGACGTTTAGGGTTGAACTGCAAGGTTGTTGTATTCAGAGAAAACTTGCATTTTCACGGTGTATTTTGATTGTCGATCCGCCGCCGTTAACGGGGAGGAAATGTACCGCGGCGGTGAGCGGCACGCGTGTCGCCGGGCACAGCGGCGTAACAACCCACAGTGGCGCCGGAAGATTTACGCTGGATTCCTGTCCGGTTGGCGACTTAAAAAAACGGGGAAAACACAGTCGATAATGACCTGCCAGCTCAACACAGGAAGCGTCTGGATAAAGATTGGACCGCTGGTTATTGCAATTAATTTATTTGATGGATCGCTTCTCAGTGAGCGGTTGCTTTTTAGATTAGAACCGATTTGAATTTAAAGGAAAGTTTACTCCGGTGTGCGTGAGCCTAGGCGGCGATACTTCGGACGACGAACCCAAAATAAAAATAAAGTATAATTTCCTGTCCAAATATCTTCGCAGTTTGCTTCTTGTTTGTCGCCAGGATGCCCTGTTACACGCCAGAGCCAATTTCAGAGTCCAACCTCGAACGGGAGTGAAAAATTCGGCGTGAAATATTCTCTCCCGTAGCGCCTCAGAAATCGGCGGAAGTCGGAGAACTTTGGAAAAAGCCCGAGCACTGCCTGTTGCCAACGCACAACATCGACCAGACGACCGCGTTTCTCCTGAAAATATCCTCGAAACGCGACGGAAAATCACCGAAAGGCTGACAATTTCTGATAAAACAAACTCAACAGGAACCCTGCTTACCTTGTCTAGCCAGAGTCGGGCATATATAAATCCAGAAAGAGGTGAAAAAGAGCCAGAAACTTATTCCATTTTGCCTCGCCATGTTTACTCCATTCGAATTACTCCAAGTTTAGTGTGCAACACGCGGTGCGTGCAGTTACTCCGCTCGCTACTCAACGAGTGAATGATGTACGGCGACTGTACCATTCGCGCCGCGGGGGGTGTTAGTCTGTTGCTCAAAAACCTCGTTGATTGGTGGACTGACATTAGTGACAGGTGGATTGGGTGAAAGCGGTGAGGACCACCAGCGCCCTCAACGGCGATCTAAATTAATGAAAAACGCGCATCTTATTCACGCGCGTTTGTAAACTGCACTTTGCTACTTGTATTCATCAAAATGCAATGTGTGAGCAAATAAAATTTTAATAAAAGAATGTCGATTTTCTTTCATCCGGAGGCTACAATTAACCTCAACGGAGTAGGCCTATGTTGAACTTGGGACTTTGGGGAGTTGCAAACAGCGATCGCTTGTGTTAATTTAAAGTGTGAAATAATTGAATGGAATATGTGCGTGCCGCCGTCAACGAAACAATTATTTATAGATGTAAAAGCAATTAAACTAACTGGGAAATGTAATTAGAGCTATATCAAATAAATGAGAGTAACAGATATTAGACGGCTGAATTAATTTCAACCTTAATTGGTTCCTTAATATCATTCAGAATTTAGTATTCATCTGGAGAATAATTCAATACAGCGTTAATGGTTCATTTCCAGTTGAACTTCAATACCTCAGTACGAAATGTAAATACCAGACATAGTAAGTATACCTGGGCCAATTATACGGTGTTAATCAGCATAAAAATGCTGCTTTGCAAATTTACATGCAAGCAAAATTTAAAGCAAATTTAGGGAGAACCAGATAAGTAATTTGTCTGGTGACAGATAGGCCCATGCATAATCAAACTTGTACTAGCTTACTAAAGTTCTATGCTTCTTTGGGAGAAGGAATGACCCCTCCCTTTTTTTTGGGGGGGGGGGGGTAATTTTGTCTTTAATCGGGGTCACTCACAAACAACTTTCAATTTTGGCATACTGGCCAAGGTTATTGTCATATCGATGTTTACAGTGGAGAGTGGCCATGTTTTGTCCCAGCATGTTTTGTCCCAGAATAAACTGATAAGTTTATTCCTGAGAAATTCCGTTGGAAATGGACCGATATTGGCTCTATTCAGCAGTGGAGTCCGAGAGTAAAATGCCCTGAAAGATGACCCCTGGTGGCGCGCTTCTGGACCCCTCGAATAGGAAAATTAGCATGTACAAGTTGGAGTTTTAAAACTGAATTTTGGTAGGGCATTGATTTCTTTAAAAAAAATCACCCTCGGAAAAGGCCATTGTAAATTTGTTACTTGAATCTCAATTTATGGAAACTGAAAAATCGCATGACGCGAAAGAAAAATATGGTGCCACAAACTGACCTCTCACTTCCGAAAATCTAAAATACAATCATGTGGACTAGTGGAACTCGGAGCACTTGCACAAAGATAAACATTTATGAAATAATTTTGTGGCGGTCATTGGGTAAAAACTGAAACTTCAATAGGAGACTAAACTCTCTTTTGGGACACAATTTTTTTTGAATAAACTTGAAGGACTAATTCTCATTTACAAGCAAATATAAAATGACAGTTGATAAGAACTGTATTTCAAGCCAGCCCGACAAAATTTAGTATTGATAGTATTTCCTTTGTTGCAACTTTTTGCGGGACAGATAGCTCTTTGAGTTCATTTGCCGACATAATAGGTCGCCGAACTTGGCCTTGCCAGGGCGCTGATTGGCCAGAGTTTTGTTCAACATATTCCTTAGACGTTTTCCGACAAATCCCAAAAGAAGAGTTTGCGGTTTGGCGTTTGGCTATCTCTTGTGTCCACTTACGGTGGTCTGCTGTACTATTGTGTAAAATAACTTCACGTACTCCAGAAATCATTTCTGTGATGGGTTGCTCTTGACCGCAAAATCGAAGGGAAAGGAAATCAAAAAGTGCTAGGATGGAACGCGATGGAATGTTACCGCCAAGTTATTTTTTATCTAGTAACAATAAACGGTTCTGCTGCAACTGCCAATTTTTTTTTTTACACAAATACATGTACATGTAAAGTGTTCATCTCTACAATATTAAACCTACCATTCATAAAAATCAATATAGCGGCAGGAAAATGTCGTATCGAATTCTGCTGGATTTTTTTTTTGGGGGGGGGGGAGGTCTTTGCTTTCCTTTCGATTTTAATTTAACAAAATGTATTCCCTAACCTCGGATATTCTGCACACGAGCGCTGAGTTTCAAGGAACCTTCCTATTTGAGAACAACAGACGAACGAAATTCTGTCCTTGTTTCGAAAATTGTTTCGAGAAATGACGCAAATTAGCATTTCGAATGCATTTACCGCATACGAAAAACAGTATTACACATCCTTATACTGCGTTAACATTAAATATTTCGTCTATGCAGCCGATCCCGCGATTTGGAAAATGGCTGCAGAACTTCATGCAACAGAGGGCGCTGTTTCAAAAAAGCGAATCAACATTTAACTTGCTACCCTAAGTCTAGCAAAGCAAAAAATTAAAACCAAGGTTTTAACCTTTCACAAATCTGTATGTTTCTTCTTTATGTTTCTGTCTGTGTATGTTTCTTCTTTAATTAACTTCTTCATATTTTGTTCAATCAGTAGTGACTGGTGAACCCTAAATACAGCTCTGAAAATAATTTTCGAAACGACCTGACACAAATTCCAATGACAATTCAAGGACATAATTCAAGATGTAAGCATAAAATTAATTAAAAGACAAGTTTGCCACAACAGGGTACAAGAAATAATGACAATGGCATGTGAAATTTACAAAAAAAACTGAATAAATAAAAAGAAATCAAAAAATAGACATAAAATAAAAACGAAAACCTTCAGCATGGTATTTTAGGCAGTTGCGAAAATGAATTGAAAAATTGGCATAAACTTTTAGTGAGACTCAAAAATGCTTAAATTTAGAAAAAGATAATTTTTGTTTTCTTCAAAATCTACTACTAATGGTCTCTTATCCATGTTAATATTTATTTATTTAACGACGGCCATAATTGCAAAAAACTTAAAGAGTTTAAATTTGACAGTGTTTAAATTCAACACAAATTCTCGACACTTTCACTTCTTGTGTTTGCTCTTTTGAAACACCAGAATTAAAAAAGGAAGTAAAATATTTTTTTAAATTAGTGACAATTCCAAGAGGTGCAACTTAAAGGGAAAATGGTTTTAAATGCATATTTATAAATCTTTAAATAGTACTTTTATGAAATAAACCCATGCAAATCTTCTTAATACATATTTCCTCGAAAAAAATTACCAAGAAAAAAGAAATCTCAAAACATATGAAGAGTGTCCAAAACGCAAAATAGCCATTTGAAAAAAAGTGAAAAATATGCACTTTTATGAGATTTTCAAGAATTAAAACAACATAAAAGCTTTTCCTCAACTTCATTTTTGTTTTGCTTCACTCAGTTGACTTTATTCTTAAATTGCCATTAACTATATCGTCGTGTCAGTGCAACAAGGTCGTAACCCGATGCTGCAACAAAGTCGTATCTCGCATGAATACGCTCCGTGCAACAAGGTCATATGTCGCTCTCTCGTAAGCAAGATATGACCTTTTCACGTTGAAAACTCACGTTTAAAGGTAGAGTCCATCATTTGCAGCCATCCGAAAAGTAACTGGCGTAATTATTGTTGAAAAACTAACTTGGTTGAAAGATAGTAAGGGAACTAAACTCCCTGTGAAATTATTCTTTCTGGGAAGCTGTCATTTTGAAGTAATCAACGAAAGAAGGCATTTCCAACGGTGATTCTTAAGAAGCACCGTAGGAAAATTTAAATTAGTAGTTCGTTTTGTTATTCAGCGAAGCGCGCACAAGTATTCGAACGACGCACACGCGCGCGCGGTTGTTATAATTCGTCGGATCAGTGCGCGACGTCGCGTATAGTTGCAATTCAAAACAATTCAAAACATGATTCAGCAACTTTTGATTTGAAATTGAGATCTTAGAATGCTGTTTTTCTCGGAATGTACAGCTGAAGCTTAGCTGAAACTTCATCAGGTTAGTTGCTCAGTATCCTTCATTAGATTTTGAACTCATTTGTTACTTCAAACGAACAAAATGCACACTTTACAAATGATGGACTCTACCTTTAACGAACATGATGTCACACGCCATTTTAGGAGATACGACCTTGTTGCACAGAAACGACGATATAAACGCTGTCTAAACCAACTTCAGGTAGCCAGGAGAGGGCGATATTCCAAAAGGTAAATTTATCGCATTTTGGAAAATATACTCTTCATATATTGGGGACCGAAACATAAAAAGTTGATGATCGTATAGGCCAAAAAAAAAAAAGTCTCCGGTTTCTGGTATGGAGCTTGTCCAAAAAGTGGTGCGGTGACGCGGCTTTTTTTTTTTTTTTACCTGACTTTTTTGCTTCAAATGTCGGCTGGTGACTGCAAATGGTGCCCGACTAAACTTAGTGCAAATATATGGGAGTCCAGAGAGGCCACATAAAGCTTATTCTCGATCATAACCCCATCTAAAAACACGTTGAAATTGCGCAGCAGCAGAATTCCAGTCAAACCAGTGAGTTTGGCGGTTTTGAGACATCATCTTTCATTGAAAAAAAAACTTTTTCATTTTGCCGACGCGCATGGCTACGGCGACGCGCGCATACCAGAAACCGGAGACTTTTTTTTTTGGCCATAAAGAAGTTAATTCCATCTTGTCTGTTGTCACATATATGTCAATACATTGATATGGGAATACAATGATATGTTCTCATATTGCAGTTTTCACAATTTTGTCAATAAATGCTAAATTCATGAACATGGCTACACATGACATGGGACAATTTCTATCTTTTAGTCATACAGTCAGGTGGGAAAAACACTTAATAAAAATAAAATTTCTCTTAATTAATTTTTTTTTTCTGTTACAAGATTTGAGAACTCATAAAAGTATCTGCAGACACCAGTATTACATATTTGCATCACCGAATCAATCAATTAGCAATAACCAATTTATCCGTAATCAATTAATCGGATCAATATTACGACGCACTGTGGTCCTCATGAGTAAACTGCAGCTATATACAGTGAATACGTTCTTG